AATGCGTCCTTACTGAATAAAAGTATTCATTTCTTTAAAAAAAAAAAAAATTACCCCCAAGCTTTTAAACAAGTGTATAAAATAAAATATAAAATAGATTGATAGTGTGATATTGCTTTTATAAAACAACCAAACTGTTAAATAACTTACATTTCAGACAAAATTTGGGTAGTCAGTGTTAATGAAGCCAAAACATCAAACTTTGTGAGTCACTAAGTAATAAACGGGGTTAAAGCCAGTCAACACACTTGAAATCAAAAGGGTTAAAATTACAGTTTGAAATAAAATGAAATATTAATTAAAATAAAATATAATGAGCACTAAATAATACCGTTAAACACTTCCAGCAAAATGTCAGTAAATATTAAGGCTACTTTCATGTAGAGAAAATGAATGAGATAGTGATATAAAGATCAGAGCTTTTTTGGGGATCTGATGGTGTGAAGTTCAAATTTAAATTTGGCTGTGACAGATGCATGTCTGCCCTCCTCCAGTATCAGCTGCATTTGACCTGTTTCAGACATTTTAGGAAAATGTGGAATGAGGTCTTGAAATGTGTGAAAGTGTGTCTCTGTGGGTCACCCTGTCTTTCTTTTTGTATGAATATGCCACTGTGCAGAGCAGAGCAGTAGTTTCCTCGGATGCTCTGAATTCTTTAAATACTTCCTATGCAAGACTAAAGTGCAGGAGTGCCTGCGAGATTTACATTCTTGAGTGCAATCGATGCCTCAGGGAGAGAGAGGGAGGGAGGCAATATGACCTGAGTGACAACAGACTACTAGAAGAGCTATGATCTCATCCCTCTCTCTCTCTCAACCCATCCCCCTTTCCCTCTCTCTATTGTTTCCCTCTCTCCCACTCCCTCCTGAGGCCCCCTCTTTTCTTTTCCTTCTTGATCTCTCATCTCTTTTCTCTTCTGTTTCTTGTCTTGTCTCTCCTCTCTTTGTCATCTCGCTCAGTTTTCCACGTTCTTCTTTCTAAGTTTTCTTCTCTCTTTTTAACTCACACACTTGGGCATCCCAGGACAGAGAGAATATCTCCCAACAACACACACTAAGGCAGTCAGGTTGTTGCATTATTGATGCGGTGTGTGTGTTTGTGGGTCTGTTTTCTCTCTGTAATGGGGATCTAGTGTCTCCCCCTGGGGGAAGTGGGGCAAAGAGAGGGAGAGAAGGTGTATGGGGGGGGGACGAAGGTCACAAAGGTTAAGTAGGGTGGGGGGGATGAGGTCATACACTCTCACACAACACAGCATGCTGTTAAGACACTCGCACAACTCCTTAGGACACACAACTCATCACGCACGTAAACTTCAGGTTGATTCACTCCTGATGAGGTTTCATCTAAAAAAACAAGCTCACTGCTGTTAGAGTTTCTTCGCATGTGTAACAGCCGTTCATCCTGAGACAAACACAGAGATCGGGCGACTGGCACAGCATTAATTCAGATCACACCTGAATCAGGGTGCTGGATGAGTTGAATTGTATGTGTGATTGCAGACTTGAATGTGAATCAACATTGATATTTGTATGTGTGTTACGATAGAGCAGTAACTGTATCTGTGCCTGCTGGTGTGTGTGTGAGTGTGTGACATATAGTGTCTCCTCTTCATTGTTCATCAGGGAGTTTGGCAGACATTGAATTTAGCTCAGACTTCTTCGTAAGGATCCTTTTCATGTGTGTGTGTGTGTGTGTGCGTGTGTGTATGTGTGAGTGTGTGTGTGTGTGTGTGTGTGTGTGTGTAAGTGAAAGAGAGAGATAGAGTGAGAGAGAAAGAGAGAGAACGTGAGCTGTGAAACCAAATCCTTGTCTGCAGCTCCTGAAGTCAGACTTCGCTCTCTGGTGCATGGTACATTTGACACTCGCACAACTCCTTAGGACACACAACTCATCACGCACGTAAACTTCAGGTTGATTCACTTTTCAAAAACAAGAAATTGTCAGTTATGTACAGTTTCCATGGCTTGTTTTATTTTTAGATTAGGGCTTGATTTTAGGCAGATGTTAATATTTTTAGAGTCCTATGAAATCCGTATTAATTTTCCCTAAATTTCTGCATTGCGTAAATCATAGGACGGTTGGAATCTTTTATTTGAGTTCTAAAATTCTAAAATAGTATTTTTGTTTGCACTGTGTAAACGCAACTTTTTGCGATATGAAACTACAGATGCATCATCATCTATTCCATATTTGCAGGCGGAGAAAAAAAAAAGAAGAATATATA